CAGTCATTTGACTCCCCGTCAGGTCCTGCTGGCCTCCGCCGTCCTATTTAGGGAGACATCGCGGGTAGCATGGCAAACCGGTGTGAGGGCACTTAAAGGTGCCTGAAACAGAGTGTGTGTGAGTGTTTGTTGGTTGCTGAGGTTTGGTCAAGCGCCCTGAGTGCACCACCCCGTCCCGATTGATAGACTTGGAAAAAGTGAAGAATCGATAAAAACGGGTGGGCAAGGGCCCCCGAGATTTAACAATTTCACGCCCCATCAGGCACGGCTTGATGATGTGCCGCTTGCTCGGATCCTCCTGCGCAGCAGCGTCTGCGAATCCACGATTGCCATCCTCTTGCAACACCGCCGCGGCCCTCTGAATGAACACATCAGGCTTGACAGCCACACAATCACCGCAGTGTGTTTCCATTGGGCCACCCAGTAGCCGGGCAATCCCGGCAGTATGCCTTGAACGATGAGCGCCCCCACGCGTCACTGAAACTGCTGTGGCAGCGGCGAGGGTTTTTGCGTTTGCGGTGCAACCACCGCGCCTTCCAGGCGGAGGCGTCAGCACGCGGCCTCAAGGTCCCCCAGGAGGACGTGGACGGCCGCGCGGACTCGCCTGAGCTGCCTCCTTGAAGCCACCGGTGGCGCAAGGCCGGTGAGTGACCTTCAGGGTATTAACGCCAGGCCGTGAGCCCATCACGGCGCCGGGGCCGCCTGGGAGACGCGCTGGCGGCTGTGGGTGCGCGGCGGCGATGGCAGCTCGACCTGATTCTGTTGGCGAGCAGAAAATGTGGAAAATGGCCCGAACGTTGCGGACCGGCTCTCCGCGCTGTCCGAAGGGGCGCCCCCGTTGTCGAGGCCGTTTTGTCGCAGCCGCGACGCCCTTCTGGAAGTTCCGGCTCTGGGATTTCGCTCGCCGATCTGGCTGCAGCCCGGTGTTCGCATCGGCGATGCCGCTGTTTGCAAGATGAGCTGCCCGGCGTTCTCACACCTCGTCACGCGGCATTGCCCTTGCATCGAATTTCACCCCTCGCCTGCTGGAAAGTGGGTGGGTGGCTGGAGGCCTGCGGTGCTGTGTTCGGTCTCTCCACCCTGTGTGATGCTCAACGTGTTCTTGGGGCCTCATTGTGCTGTGTTCGGTCGCCCCGCCCCGGTTGACAGTCAACTCGTTCGCAGCAGAGGGGTCAGGGAGCACCTCCCCCCTTCGGCCGTCCCTGCATTCGCTCCTGCCCCGACACCTCGACGAGCCCCGGCTTGGAACGGCGCCCTGGCTCTGAGCGGAGATGCCCTCCCTGTGCGCGCTATATACAAGGCCGGAGGTGTGCGCCATATATACGGGGTGGTGTATGCTTGTACAGGGCGATTGGCCCTGAGGTTTGAAACCCAACCCGTTCGATAAGATCTTCCCGGCGCCGTCCGCAGGGTCGCCTTGGGAGATGGCCACCGCCGGCGAGGACGCGGATGAAGAGACTGCACAGGAATTGCCTGATCATTTGGCGAAAACATGTGAGCTACTAGAGACAAGAGAGACCATTGCATAATAGAAATTGTGAATGCCTCCGATGTTGTGAGCAGATGCGAGCACTATTTGCAATTACTTGCTTTTTTTCACTAATCATCTATGTAGATGAAAATGACAAGCTGCAATTGCCATGCTTTGGCTGGCCTTCATGTCATGCAATTGACTTGTGCCATTGGCTACATAAACTGGATACAGCACATGTGGTTGTTGAATTGGGTTGTTTCTCAAAACGACTTGTTGTAGCCCCCATGGCGCCCCCCCTCCCCATTTTTGTTGTTGCTGGCAATCCCTTCTATATTGGCCATTTGTTGTGTGGATAAGTAACTCACATTGCACTATGAGCCTGTGGTACTTATGCTGTGGCAATCATCAAGTCCATGGTGACTAGCGCAATGTATAGCATAAACCTGGTTCATACTGTAACTTGTTTGCTAGCGAAGTGTGCTATTGCTCATTTACGCTCATTTATGTTTGGCATTGTCATGCCCGTTTTGCAAAATTGTTGTAGCTGTAGGAGAGCTTTTTTTATATTCAACCGTACAAGCTCAGACCGCCACACGCACTGCACACATGACATCCTCCGATTAACCCGGCGTCGCTGCGTCACGACGTTGGCGGACTTTTCATTTGCGGTGTGTGGAGAGGAGGGCACAGCAGAGGTGCCATGGGAGAACAAGTTGCGTTTTCCCGTTGATTTGGACAGGTTTTGTTTCCGTTTGTCATTGTCGTTAGTGGTTTGATGGTCATTTTTGGGCCATTGCTGCCATCTCGTACTGATCCGTTCCAGGACATGAGCGAGCGCCCAAAAACGCGCGCGTTGAAGGGCGCTGGCAAGGAGCTGTTCGCGGCAAGGGGCCCGTGGGCGAGGCACAAGGCGGAGCAGCCCAGGTGTAGGCTGCCGGCGCTTGGCTGCCCTGCGATTGACCGCAGGTTGATTGCCGATTGACTGGTGCCATAGCTTGCGATCTCTGTGGCCAGGCCGGTGTGGTCATCGCCAGTATGCTCGGCATAAATGTGTTGTGAAGGCGGCCCCAAAGTGTGGGCGTGGTGGCTCTCATGCGTCCGCTCCTGGCACCACGCCCCCATCGATTGGTGCCCTCAACAGACCCAGGTGTGGCGCTTCCTGAGCGGCTGTTCATGCTGCTTGAGGCCAGGTCGTTTGGCAGCCGAGTGGCGTGCGCGATGGCAGGCGGACACCACAGCACTGCACGGGCGAATGCTCACTGGTGCTTGGCCACAACAATGCGGTTGAAATTGGTGGGGCAGGGACAATGGAAGAGAGGGGGGGGAGGTGCACGCCAAGAATGGTTTCATCGCTACCTCCGCCTGGCAGCAAGCAAGCGCAGGGTCCTGGCCAGAGCTGCGGCGTTGGGCGGGGATGGGATTGGGACAACAAGGGCACCGGACCAGGGCAGCAGCCGCCAATAGGGATCGGCTGCTGCGAGCACTGGCGCCTAGTCGCTAAACAGAGGCCCATTCCACAGCGATCGCCGTTGACAGCCAACCCTTGAGAGGGCTGGCCCCGCCAATTCATCACGTTGGCCACGAGGCAGGAGGGCAGGCCAGCTCGCCGCCACACTGCAGCCTCTAGTTGGCGCTCGTCCAGTAGCTTTTGAACCAGGCGAACGTGCTGCCGCACTTTGTCCTTTAGTGGGTGCTCGTTCAGTGGCCTGCCTCGCACAAGCCATGGCGGTTTCTGAAGGGCCGTGCCAATTGTGTTTTTCTCTATCATGCACGGCCCACAGGTGTTTGGCTTGATTGAGGTAGGCGGCTTGCACGCCGCGCCAAGCCACTAACTGCTATGCTGCACCCCCTCATGCCAACGCCCTTGGGCGCATGCAGCGGCACATGCGGGTGGCGGGGATGGCCAAATCTGCGGGGGTAGGAACTCTGCCCAGCAGAGATGGGTGCAAAGGGCGGCCTTTAAGCGTGGGTGTGGGGCATCCTACATTCCCGCTTGCGGTACCCACGGCCGCAGCTATTGGCGCCCTCAGCAGGTGCACCTCTGGAGCCTCCCTTACACCCGCTGATGCTGCTCGCTGCCACCCTAATTGATAGTCCATGGCAGCCTAGTCACCAAACGGAAGCCTGATCTAGAGGCAACACCCTGGGACGGCCGGCCCCCGCTGCGTCGGTTTCCTGGGCAGGCAGCTCGACCCCGCGCTGCAGCCTATGCTGGGCACTATTGCAGTGGCCCTCGGAGCAGGAGAACATTAGTAGCGCCAATATTGGCGCCGGTGTCAGGCCCAGCCATGTTCGCATCAAGGCAATCCATGTTTGGTCCACACGCTCCGCCGACTCGATCGCTGCTTCAGTGGGCACTTGTCCCGCTTTTGCTTTGTTTTAGTTTGCTTTCTCTCAAGCATGGCCGCATGGCTGTGCATGCCTTTGTGGGCCATCGACATGGCCCCCCTCTTGCGGGGTCTTGCGCGTTGCCTCGCAACGCAACGATCCTTGCCGCTGAAAGTGTCCAAGGTTTAAGTGGTGGCAAGCTGGGGTGGGTGGGAAGGTGGGCTGGGTAGAAGGACGCCCCGGTGGGCGCCCACGCAACAGGTGGGGTATGGGCCACAAACCTGTTGTTTTGCTCCAGTGGGCCGCACCGCGCTGCACCAGGTGGTTCCAGGAGGCCCGTGTTGTGGCCTGGCGCCTTGGGGCCGCCATTGGAGGTGTGTCTTTCACGGGGCCAATCACATTCGCACTCCGCACATCCACGACCTATGGCCGCTTGGCTCGCGCCCTGCTGCCCGCTTCCTTGCCGGCGCATCAAAACCTCGCGGCGAGCCAACAGCAAGAGACGCCAGTGGGCCTGTTGATGCACTGCGGGATCCCATAGAGGTTTGCGCAGTGTTACCTGGTAATTGCGGACTGCGCATGTGATGACGTGGAGAGGAGTTATTTTACCGTGGGTTGCCTGTTATTGTTGTATCGTTATTCGGTTACTGTTACTGTTTATTTTACCATGGGTTGCCTGTGAGCAGCACACCTGTGGGCAGTACATAAGGCTGGCTGCGGCAGGGGCGGCTGGCGAGTTTTGTTAATACCGCCGGTTTAATTGTTGGGCTCCCATTGAGTGGTATTGTTGAACTGAAAAGAGTGCACAGTGAATTTTGTTTTGCAGCTCTTTATGATTCCGCTGCACCTATGTTGGCATGTGGCCCATTGCTGAATTCTTTGTTGAATGAATTGTTGATTATGCATGTGCACAATGTATGTGTATTTAGTGTACATGTATATTGTTATGATGTTGTTGCATCGATGTTGCCATGTGCTTTGTTGCTCAGCTCGTTTTCTGAATGGATTGTTGATGACTGCAGTGCTTATTTTGTGATCAGTGTTGCCAAGAGTGGTGTCAAGGGCAGTGTCCATAATTCGCAAGGATCCGTCTCCATACACACCTTTCAGACCGGATGCAGTCGGGCAGGAATTGCAGGTCTCCCGCATCACAGAGATTTTGATAGGCGACGAGAATACCTACGTGGCCCTCATAGGCATGGGGGGCGTAGGCAAGACTACACTTGCGAAGTCGATCATGCATGATGAGCGGATCAAAACCAGGTTTGTGAAAAATGAGAAAACAGGTTGCCTTGGCTTGGCGTTCGTCACAGTCTCAGATGAACCTGATATCATGAAATGTCACAAGAGAATATGGGATGTCCTCGTGGGAGAAAAGGCGGAGTTTTGCAGTGTTGAAGATGGCAAGTTGCAGTTGCGAGCAAAATTGCAGGGCAAGACATATCTTCTTGTGTTGGACGACTTGTGGGATGCGACGGACATGATGGCCCTTGATGTTGCATCAACAAGTGGCCGTGTGTTGATCACTTCGCGGAATGACAAAGTTGCTCAAGTTGTGCACGCGAGGCGCCATGATGTCACATGCTTGGACGAAAACGAGTCACACAAGTTGTTCCGCAAGCACGCCTTTGGTGAAGACAAGCCAAAGAGGTGGCAAGAAGAGCATATCAAGGCCATTGTTGAAAAATGTGGGGGTTTGCCACTTGCTTTGGAAATAATGGGGAAGGTGGTGAACAACATAAGAGCCACAGGGGGCCGTGAGGAGAAGGACATGTGGAAGAACGCCGTGGATGCCCTTGCAACGAGCTCATTGTTCCAAGCAACCGTGGTCGATCGCGTGTTTTATGCAAGTTTCAACAGGCTAGGCTCCGTGCATCAGAGTGTGTTGCTGGACTTGGCAACATTGCCTGAAAACTACCGTGCTAGTGAGTGCGACGAGGCAGAACTGCAGAAGTGCATAGGTACGTGTGATGATGAGGGCACAGTGCGAAAGGTGTTGAGGGAACTTGAAGACCGCGGGTTGATCAAGCAAGAAGGGCAAGACACCTCGGAAGTTTTGGAATTTCAACCCAGGGATGGTGGGGTGCACTATTACTTGCATGATGTGGTCCGTGATTGTGCTCTCCGCGCTATTGCTGGCATAACATTGCAAGTACGACAAAGGTTGGCGTCATCTCATTTGAAACACAGCAGTTGCAAAGATGAAACATTGGCGGCAAAGAGGTTTTCTGCGTCTGAAATAATTGGAGCAGACCAGTTGCGCACTTTGCAGAATCTGCAGATGCAAGAGTTGAAGGCCATTGTGTTGAAGGATGCAGGGATATCAGAGCTACCACCAACACTCTTGACAAGCCAATTGGTGGCAATTGACCTGACGTCCTCAGGCATCGTCAAATTGCCTTCACAAATATCTTGTTTGCAATCTGCTCAGCTGCTCAGGGTGGATTATTGTGAAAAGTTGGCATGTCTTCCAGGTGAAGTGGGTGAATTGGTGCAGTTGAGAGTGTTGTCCATGAGGGGTTGCAGAAGCATTCATGACATTCCCGCATCCCTGGGACATCTGTCGATGCTAACCAAGCTACTGATGCCCCAATGTGGTATTGCGCATTCCTACCATCCCGATATGAAAGCATGGCACAAGTTGACCATGCTGGATCTGAGTAGGTGCACTGGCCTCAAGTGCTTGCCTCCAAAATTTGGAGATTTGGCAAGCTTGACTGCGCTGAATTTGGGTGGATGTTGGCAGCTGACAAGTTTGCCAGCCAGCATTGGTCAGTTGAGTCAGTTAGAAGTGTTGATTTTGCACAAGTGTGACAGTCTCATGGAACTGCCCAGCAGTATGGCAGACCTTTCCAATTTGCAAGAGTTGGATGTCCAGCGATGCCCACGATTGGTGGACATTCCTGACACCATTGGGGGGGCATGGTTGGAGTTGAGGGTTCTGAGGCTCCAAGGGAATGGCCACATGGCCTTCCCACTGTTTGTGAAGGATTTGGAATGTCTTGAGGTTTTGGGCATTCCGGAGGAATGCGAGATTCCTGAGGCCTTCAATCAGATGCTTGAAGACCTCGAAATATCATTAGAGCTGGAGGCAACGGAGCTGTGTGAGCACACGATCCTCTACTGGGTGCGTCACAATTGCAGGGCATTTGCTGCATCATTGGTAGGCAATACTGGATTGTAAAAGGACAATTTTTCCTTGGAAATGTGATACATGGTGAAAACGTTGTGTGTGCGGAGCAGGATGAATGTACACCTCTTCATTGGTGCGCAAGCAATGGCTTGGACAAGATGGTAGAGTGGCATTTGCGTGAGACACAGGTGGACTTTCGAGACAAGGTTGGTCTTGGGGCAGCCAATGAGCATGGTTTTACAGTGACATCAAGCCTGAATAAAATGTCGTCCTCTGTCTGATGGAATGATGGGTTGCAGAATCAAGTTGGCTCTGTGGTTGTTTCAATCTTGCCTTTGCCTGAGATTGGATACAGTTGGTTGCAAGCGAGCGCCGTTGTGCATTTGTTGCTCTGTTATAAGCGAGAAAGTCAATGTCTGCTGCCCCTGCAAAGACACCATAGGAATGGCAAGCCACATTGTCTGCCACAATTCAGTTAAGAGACATGCTGCGATGGATGCATGTCCTGTCACAATAGCCAGAAATGTGAATGGAGGGAATGCCAGAGGCAAAACAGTCCAAAATGAAAAGCAAAGTGCACCAGCCACACTTCAGAGTATGGTATCAAATGGCAGCAACGCTGCCACACTCACATGCAGGAAGGAGAAACTCCTTTCGGTAGAACTTGACCTGTTTTCCTATGTTTCTCACCCTCTATCCCTGATCCACTCACTGCAGCAGCAGGGGTTGATGCTTCCAGGGATGACAGTTGTCAACAGGACATGGAAGCAATGTCCCTGGCATGTTGCGGGCAGTGATGTTGACAGTAGAGGAGCCAGTGCTTATATTTTGTCTTGCACTTTGAGCTGCCCCAAGCAGCATCAGGACTCATCCACTGGTTGTCTGACAAGTGCAGAGCATGACAATGAGGATCATGCTCAAGCACGCAAGCACAAAAGACCGTGTGATCCTTCCGGCCATCAACCAATGCAACTTTTATGTTGCGCAGTATGCAGCTGAGACAGATTGGCTGTTCGACGTCAGCAATGTTATTGTGAAGAAAGGGTTGCCAAGCAAGAACTGAGCGTTTTTCACTACTGGACAAGGCTGCCGCCTGGCAATGAGCTTTGATTTGTGTGAAATGGTGCTGTCCCTCTTTATGCATCGTTTTCACCCCTTTGTTAATGAGCAAAAGGCAGCCAGAGATGGTGTGGATACTGTCCATTGAGGCGTACTACATTCAAGTTAGAGTCTTCCCTGCCCCTCGAAATGTTGTTCTTGGATACTTTAAATCCAACTCCAGGGGCCCTTTCTCACGGGGCTATCACTGACAATATCCAGTTGTGTGTGCATGCACCACCTGTTCAGTGTGCAATTGACTTTCCTGATTGACGGCTCTATCTGGTACTCAGGTTGGGAGGACACCCCTTGTTTGGGCAGCCAGGGAAGGTCATGCAGCTGTGGCAGAGATGCTACTGAATCATGGGGCATCTGTGGATCTGGTGGACAATGTACGGGCGCCCTCATTGTTGCGTTGCGTATCTTCCTGCATTTGTGCTAGTGCTGTGCTGCTTGATGGTACTGCTCCAACAGCAAAATGGCACTCAATATTGGCCATGCATTCACTCAGCATGGCAGACGTGGCTTGTGTAAACGTAATTGAAAATGTCATGAATCAACTGCCATTGTGATGCTTGAGTGCTGGGTGAATGTGCTGTTTCAAAGGCCTGTGTTTAGCGTTGCACGAATGTGGCATTCCCATTTCGCTGGTTAACCACTGGAAGAGGGTGCCGCCTGGTCATGAACTTGATTCGTGTGAACTGGCCCTGTCTTCTCTTCCTTCGCCATTATCACACATTCGTAAATGACCGAACTGCAGCCAGCGATGAAGATGTGGGTAGTGTACATTGAGGTCTACAACATTCAAGTTAGAGTCTTCCCTACCTTTCGAAACATTGTTCTTGGATACTTTAAATCAAACTCCAGGGGCCCATTCTCATGTGGGCTATCACCGACGATATCCAGTTGTGTGTGCATACACCACCTGTTCAGCATGCAATGGACTTTCCTGACTGACCGCTTAATCTTGCACTTAGGATGGGGACCCACCCCTTGTTTGGGCAGCCAGGGAAGGTCACGCAACTGTGGCAGAGATGCTACTGAATCATGGGGCATCTGTGGATCTGGCGGACAATGTGCGAGCGCCCTCATTGTTGCGTTGCATATCGTCCTGCATTTGTGCTAGTGCTGTGCTGCTTGATGGTACTGCTCCAACAGCAAATTGGCGCTCAATATTGGCCATGCATTCACTCAGCATGGCAGACGTGGCTTGTGTAAACGGAATTGAAAATGTCAGGAATCAACTGCCATTGTGATGCTAAAGTGCTGGGTGAATGTGCTGTTTCGAAGGCATGTCTTAAGCATTGGGTGAATGCGGCATTGCCGTCTCGCTGGTTTAACTACTGGACGAGGGTCGCCTGGCCATGAACTTGATTCGTGTGAACTGGTCTTGTCTTCTCTTCATTCACTGTTTTCACCCTTCATTGATGACTGAAAGGCAGCCAGCGATGACGATGTGTATAGTGTGCATTGAGGTCTACCACATGCAAGTTTGAGTCTTCCCTGCCCTTCGAAATATTACTCTTGGATACTTTAAATCAAAGTGCAGGGGCCCTTTCTCATGCGGGCTATCACCGGCGATATCCAGTTGTGTATGCATACACCACCTGTTCAGCGTGCAATTGACTTTCCTGACTGATGGCTTTATCTGGCACTCAGGATGGGTGGACACTCCTTAGATTGGCAGCCAGGGAAGGTCACGCAGCTGTGGCAGAGACGCTGCTGAATCATGGGGCATCTGTGGATCTGGCGGACAGGGTGCGGGTGCCCTCATTGTTGCGTTGCATATCGTCCTGCATTTGTGCTAGTGCTGTGCTGCTTGTTGGTACTGCTCCAACACCGAAATGGCGCTCAATATTGGCCATGCATTTGCTCAGCATGGCAGACGTGGCAAAATTTTCAGGGTTATGTATCAAGGCACTGCTGTCCATTTGTCCATTCAAATTTTGCTGGGTGATGTAGACATGCAGTCACTTGCTGTACCACTCCTGAACGCAGTTGAGATGTTGCTGTTCAATCTGAGTTAGGGCCGACAATGCGTGTGCGAGGTGGAGCATCTGGCCCTCTACTGACGATCTACTTCCTTCGAACTTCGGCATAACGTTGTTATCCTGTGATGTAATGTGCGGGATGGATCAACTGCCCTCGTGGCCGCTGCACAGCATAACCTCACCTTCGTTGTTGAGCTGCTGTTGCAGACAGGAGCTTCAGTGAACTGTGCTAACAAAGTAAAAGATGGGATATATTTGATAGTCCATGCTATGTGTTATGGATGGCAGCCAGGTGGCACTGCCTGTCCTGAAAGATAGACAGACAGATTTGCATTTGTGTGCTGTGCACTGTTGTCCACTTGAAAATGACCAGCTGCACACAGAGGAACACGGAGGAACCAAGAGATTGGGAAACAAACGTTGTGTCTGAGCAAATTATCGTTGCAATTCTAAAGAATGGCTTCTGTTGTCAGGCTGGGTGGACAATGCTGCCAATATTATGTTAACAGCTGTTAAAGTTTGTCGATGAAATCTGGCACGTGGTATAGAGACCTGGTATTGTGACTGACTTTACGATTCAATCTGTAGGTTGGCTCAACTGCCCTCATCGTCGCTGCACAACATGGCCATGCCACCACTGCTCAGGTGTTGTTGGACAACAGAGCTTCAGTGGATCATGCAGATGAAGTAAGGGAAGTGATAATTTCAGCAGACGACTTCTTGCAGTGGTGGTTGTTCAAAATATTGACTTCCAATGTGAGGCAGGGTGGACTATGCTCGTGCCAGCTTCATATTTAACACCTGTCGTGTTTGGTGATGTGACGTTCGTCAGATTCACTCCAATGGACAGCAATTTGTCATATTCCATTGATGAAATCCAACGCATGGTGG